CGTCGCCTGATGCTCGCTGTTGTGAAACAGTATGTCGAACGTGACCTCGCGGCCCAGCATGTCGTCAATAGCCGGCTTCACCACGCTGTGGAAGTCCCGGGCCGAGAACGAGTCATCCAGCATGTTGCTGACCTGCCAACACAGCCACCACCTGTTTGTCCTGACTGTTCCCGCTGCAGCCTGTCATCACTCTGTGTGTGTGTTACCTTGTATTTCTTCCCCAGCAGCTCCAGTGGATCCAGCTTGACCTCTGACCTCAGAGCGCGGCCGAACATCAGGAGCTTCGCATCTGAATCTGACAAACACACATGAAAAGTGTTTTATGGACAGTGTGAAGTTTGATGTGTGTGATCAACATCCTCAAACTCTGAGTGTGTTAAGTCTGACAGTGTTGTGGCAACATTTCACCTCGGTTCACACACAAATGAACTAGTTTTAAGCACTTTGTCAGGACGAGGACGAGGGCAGGTCACTGCAGGAAAATCAAGAAAACCCCAAACCAAGCTGCAATAAAAAAACGATGAAACCTAGAACTACACAGGATCCGCTTTGCAGCAGCTCACAGTATCTCCCTTTGGAAAAGGCACGTTTCCTCCTGGAGGCTTGAATCTCTTTGTTTTACTGAATTAAAACTGCAACATTTTCATTTTATTTGCAAAACACTCCTGATGGCGTCATTGTTCTTGGCTGGTGAGGCCCAAAGTCTGGCTCTATCGAGTTACATGAAACCATCTGCCACTGCCACATCAGTAAACTCTGAACCTATGCAGATGTTTACTGAAGTTGGATCTTCCCTGACTGTAACGCTGCAGCAGCAGCCTGCCCGTGGTTTTCTTGTTTTCTGATGCATTTCTCTGTTCTAGAAAACAATTCTAGAAAACTAAAACTCTGAGGTGTCGGAGGTGACAAGTTGCCTTTTGAGCAGGGTAGGAAACTGAATGAGGCAGCAGACCTCGACAGGTCAGGTGAGCCACATAGGGGACGCCGTCCCTCTCTCCGTAGTACACCCCGAAGTGGGAGAAGTACTTGTTCCTGGGATACTCCACGATGTCGCCTGGGAACAACTTGGGATGGGAATGTTTCTGCAACAATGACAGACAAAATGTGGTCAGTGTGTAGTCAGACGTCTGGTCAGATATGATACAGGAGGCCACACCTTGACTGTTCAAGGAAACGGCCAGGCCTGCATCCAGCTGTGTTCACGTTTTGGGCTGGGTCCTGCTCCATGTCTAGACATACTGCTTCAAACAGGACAAAAAGCTCGACCTGTCATTAAAACAATGCCCAAAGACATGAGACAGTTCTACAGAACCTGACACACTGGAGCCCCAACATTAAACAGGGCTGGTGTCAGTGGTCATTCAGTTTAGTGGCCTGTGGATTCATCACACCAGATTGTGAAAGCTGCTCCTGAAACATCCAGGACTTTGCCTCCGTCTCGTTTATCACTGGTGATATCTAGCGGGAGTCGTGCCAGAACTCAGCAGCTGTGTTCAACCACTACAAACACCAGAGTGGCCAAAGTGGGAAGCCACAAAATGAGAAGCATGAACAGCGTCATCTGCCGGCAGACTGTCAGACTACACGGTGCCTCTGCTTCCTACTGCTGCACGGCACAGCGATATGTCTCTTTATTAACACTACCACCGTGTGCAAACCAAGTCGCTGTACGAAAAGCAATGGCTGCAACTTTTGAACTGAGGCGTCTGCTGAGCTGCAGCAGATGCTTTTCAGTTTGAGCAGGAAGTCATGTTGATAAGTCACTGACAGACTGCAGATAAAACCACACCCACCTGTGGCCTCATAAACAAATCTGTGCCTTTAAAGGCGGCACAGGAACGTGGAGTCTGCAGCCAGGCTGGCAGCTGGGAGACTAAATGCCACCACGCTGATGTTACACGTTGGTCATCTTACTTTGTGTCTAATTAGCACTACATACAAACTTCACTCCACGAGACCGTCATCAGTTCTGCAGGTATATGGTCACAAACCAAAGCAGTCGACAAACTGCTGAGGGAGCTGCAGGACAAGTCAGAGGATCAGCAACATTCACAGTGTGGGAGTCCCAGACTGATCAGTGGACACGGTTTTAGTTTTTGTCAAAGTTTGACACAACCAAGTTTGATCCAATCAGAAAAATTAACTATTTTCATATGCAAGCAATAGTTTGTTATTGTGAAGCAAAAAAGCCAAATATTTGCTGGTTCCAGCTTCTCAGACAGGAGGATCGATGCATTTCTTTGTCTCTTTGTGACAGTAAACTGAATGTGTTTGGGTTTAGGAACAAAAGAATTTCAAGATGCTAAATTAGGTTGTTTGAAATTATACTGCATCACTAAAGAACACACATAACTGAGGTTATGGGGTGAGCCATGGCTTCTGTCACATTTTCCATCAATGTGGAGAAGCATTTTGGACAGAGGCCCCCCCTGGGTATGCTATCAAACTGTGGACGACTTGATGGGGTGTGAAGTTCCCTTTTTTAAAAACACAGTCCAGCAGCTAATGGTTGTTTCCAAGTGTTAAACTCAAAAGTCAGTCAGTGAATTTTAGTAACAAAGCTTCACATCTGTTTGTTTTAACTAGAGACTGTTCATTTGTTGCCCTTTCACAGCTCATCCCACATTGAGCTACGCAGCATCAGTAAACAACGCATTAGCCAGTAATAAAACCACCGGTTAAAAGCCTGATATAAAGACTTTACATTTCACAGACAGATTTCTCACTAACTGAAAAACAGATTCACTTTCAGACAAATAACGACCAGTTGTACTCACCAGGCCCATGGGTTCAGGTGTTGTGTCGCTGCCTTCAGCTGCTTCTGAGATAAAGTCCCCAGCACACACACATACACACATACACACACACAGGGACCCCACCTGCTTTACATACAGGCATGAAGAACTGAAGCTCAGTCACAGCAGACTGAGCTCGCCCCATCACACCCACACATCTGTGAGTGCCTGCGTCGCGTCCTAGCTTCACTTCACTCGTAATCTCAGAGGTGGGGGACATCTCTGTGGGCTCTTCATGAGGTGACCAGCCAGGGAGCACCATGAGCCCCTCAGCGTCCTCCATCTCTGGGCGTGTGGTGCAGGTGTTTCCTAAACAGAGAGCATGAAAGAGGAAGTGGCTTCCACCAGACTGGTTTTATTACAGATATGAAGGCACTGAACAGAGAGAGGGGGCAGCGCTGGCTCAGTCATGATCACATCAGGGCTCTGGGATGCAGGCAGCCATGAAGGTCCACACGTGTGTCACCTTAACCAGGTCCAGGTTTTGCCATTTTTAACATAATTTAACATCAAGATCCTTGAAGTGTTCTTTCAAGCTCACTGGAGGGTTTCTAGAAACTCCCATGTGAACAAAAGGAACAAAAGGTTGAAACATCAAACTGCAGAATTTAAAATACGCAGACTGCAAAACAGGGATTTCAAAGAATCTGCCTCCAACACAGTAACTCAAGTTCACTCTGTAGCTTTCACCCATGATCTTCATCAGTGGGTCAAGGAGCAGCTCTTACAGCTGAGCTCGTGGGTCAACATGTCACCTCCAGGTCACCTGATCAAACTGAGCACTGATGAAGACCATGGAAGGCAGCTGAAAGCTCTGTTGGAATCGTTTTGTCAGTTTTATTTCCCAATCGATGTTTGTGCGACTTTCCCCACATATGGAACATCACAACCATTAACTGAAAATCAGAGCAGCTCTTTGCCTTGTGTGACTGTAAACCCTGGTTTTTAAATGACACGTCAGAAGAACAGAACACTTCCTTCAGCATTTTCTGACATCTGATAGATGGAATGATCAATGGAGAAAGTAGCTTAGGAGCAAAACAGGCAGTTGTTCTGGTACTGCTGCTGTGGGTCGTTTCTGTTGGACAGTCCAGTAAAATGTGTCCTAATTGTTAAGTGTCTGATGAACTGCTCCATGAAGAGCTTAGAAAATTCTCCTTGTTAGACCAATAAAAGCTGGATCAGCACAAAAATATGATGCTTAAAGGAACAGTCCGCCCTGTGTTGCTCACTTGTCTAATTAAAAAAAAGGTAAAATTACACAACTAGAGTATATAAACACAACTTGATGACAACATCCACAGGTGTGATCTCTTTCTCTTTCATAACTTTTGCTGTAACGTTCTATAAAAGTGCCCACTGCTTCTTCCATACAGCCCTTATAAAAGTCTGGCAACAATCTGGATTTTAAATATCCAAACGTTTAGACACAGTTGGCCAGAGCTGCCCTGTGAGCCTGGACCCGACTCGACAGCCTATCAAACATGAGACGGAGACGTCAACGCTACCCCAGAGCTTCACCGGAAATAAATGACAGGGCTCTGCCAAAACAAGACACGAGGTGAACAGCTGAGCCTGTGCCGTGTTTACTGCAGAATTATAAAAATAGAGTGGATCTCAAGTTTCTCAGTGTGAAGGAAAATGATTTAATAAAATCAGTCGTTTCATGGCTAAATTCTTACATTTACTCCCTGAAGTGTCAAACAGGCTGATTTCACAGAGTCTGGTCTGAAAACAAGCAACATAAGCTGCAAATATCTTCTGAACTCTAAGACAAATCACCTACATCTGGACTGCCAAAACATTTCATGATAAAGATTTAAAGATTCTGGTTCATTTGGGCCAAAACAAACAGTGACAGATCCTCCCATGTGATGGCATCAGCCTCTGTTTAGCTCTGTGGCTCAGCTCAGCAAGGAGTGGGTGACATTTAAATTCTTTTAAACTGTTCAAGTGTGTAGAGGATGTGGTATTAGGGCCACTGTTAAGAAAATCTTCTCAGATAGTGTAAATAAACCTTTAACCCTGAAAAATAAGATTCGTTACAGGAACAGTTGTAATTTCAAGAGAAAAAGTCAATATTAAGATAAAAAAGGAAAGTTAATTTTATGAGTAGTCAGTTTTAAAAGGAAAAATGTTTCACAAGAATAAAGTTTAAGAGAAAAAAGTTGTAATGTGTTTTGAGAAACTTTTATGCTCAAGTGAAGAATTCCTATAAAGTTTTAATGTACTAAGGCCAAATATAACAGAACATGTGTTAAAGTGGAGATAATAATGATATGGTGTCTGTGAGTGAAGCTGTGTGACACGTCAGTGGCTTTACAGCAAAAGAAAATCATTTTAAAGGTTGTGTAACATTATGACTTGACTCCTGAAGCTGAACCTCATCTTGATATGTCTCCTCATAATAGTGTCCCTAATCCTCTAGTTTTTATTAATGAGGTAGCGGCTCACTGTGCATTTCACAGTTGTGTGATAAGAAATCTTTTATTATAAAAATGTCTAAACTTTCCTTTTATTGCAGTTTTGAAACACTTTTCCCCAAATTTAACTCCGTCCTATTTCCCCCTTTAAACCTGCAGCAGCCCAAGAACCAGGCTGAACTTTGCTTTAATTCATCATCAGTCCTGTTGCCGTCAGAGGAAACCTGTCCCTTGTGTCAGTCGACCTGCAGCAGCTGTAAAACTAAACATTTCATCGGGTTCAGCTCCATGAGGCGTACAACCCCAGAGAAACCTGACCACACTCAGTGGTTTGACTGTGTGTGAGCACGGAGCGCGTGCTCACACACACTTTAATGCCCATTTATAAGTCAGTGCAGCATTACAGTCTGTTCAGTCTGTCAAAGGCACCTGAGTTTAGCTCTGAGCTGAGCTGGAGGTTCACCAGTGTATACACAACACACACACACACACACACACACACAAAGCTGTGCATGTATCAGGGCAGCTCACAACACATGGACTGGGGCCCTGCCTCACCACCACTGTAACAGGACGGAGCTGTGTGACCCTGCAGTGTACGAGCCCTGTAGGCATTACATGCATCTGCAAGGGGTAGCAACACCTGGGATCTGTGGTCACTGCGAAACAGGTGGACAGCTGCTGCTTCCACTAGTCCATAGTGACAGACAGGCACTTCAGCTGGATTTCTGATCAAACACACCCAACAACTATGGAACCTAAAGGAACTTTCCCCAGGAAGCAGGAACCTGTGTTTGCCCCAGAGGAATCAGGGTCTGGATTAGTTTCTGTGCCCTAGTCCTACCCCCCAGAACGTCCCTCATCGAGGCAGGCCCTCCAAGAACTACCAGGGTGAGACCTGCAGCTCTAAATGATCCCAACTGGTCAAATACTGGGCAGTATTCTTAAAACTCTGGACCTAAAAGTTCCTGCTGTGGCTTCCTATTTGCAATTCTGTTACAGCTGATGAAGCCAACCAGATCGAAGATGGACTAAAAAACTGCAGCTTCTTGAATGTGAGAAGTTGCATATGTTCTGTTTTGTATCACTGTAAAGTGAAAATCTAAAACCTGAAGACAAAACAATATACTGAACTTTGTCACCTTGAACTCGGGGAAATGATCATGAACTGAATAAGTGAAACTTCATCTTTCAATGAAGCAATGTCTCAGAAGATTATTTTAAACCCTTCCTTTGCTGCTTCTCATCTCAAAGCCCTTCAGATTTTACCGTGCAATCACTTAGAGGCCCTGCCCTCTAGTTTGGGATCTAATGATCCAATGATTTGATGTGCTGATTACTTCTGTAATACTCTGGTTACTAGTTGTGTCAGTAAAACCAAAGCCAATCAGCTGTCTAACTCCTCGTTGGGCTTCTGAGAAACTCTCTTAGTGTTTCCCTCCTCCGTGTGCTGAGCTAGCCCTGATACACGCCTCTCTCTCACCCTCACACACGCCCTCTAGCTGTGCTCCTGACTTGGACTCTGCTGAGTGTCTTTGCCCCAGCTCAGCCCGTTGATGGGTGTGTGTTTGTCCCAGCTGTCCGTGTTGTGTCCATGCTTCCTCTGGTGGCGTTTATAGTTGTCCCAGTGGCCTGTGGTGTAGCTGCACTCGGCGCAGGCGTAAGGCTTCTCGCCCGTGTGCCGCAGCATGTGCCTCTTCAAGTTCATGCTCTGGTTGCAGGAATAGCCACAGACGCCGCAGTGGAACGGCTTGGCGCCCGAATGGATGCGCTCATGTCGCCGCAGGTTGGCCAGGTTCCCACAAGCGTAGCTGCATGACAGGCACTGGTAAGGCTTCTCGCCCGTGTGCACGCGCAGGTGGCGTTTGAGGTTGTCGAGGTGAGAGGAGGTGTAGGGGCAGTGCGTGCAGCGGTGGGGTTTCTCCTCGGAGTGGGTGTGGGCGTGGCGGGCCAGGTGGTTGGGGTAGTGGGACAGGAAAGGGCAGTGAGGGCAGCGGTACAGCTTAGTGCCTCGCTGGCCCCGGCGGGATCCCCGAGACATAGCCGGGCTGCAGGGGGGCCCCCGCCCGTCTTTAGAGAGCAGGTCCAACGAACAGCGGCGACACACCTGAGGACAAAAGGACTTGGTCAGAGGACGACTCTCCTGTGAGGACATTCACTCTGTACTCAAGTACAACTTTGACATACTTTATTTCACTTGAACATTTCCACTGTGCTACTTTATAGTACTACACCTCACTGCAATTCAAAGACCAATATTACTTCTTTATTGCATCACATTTATCTGACAGCTGTAGGTACTTTTTTACAAAAGTACAACACAATAAAGATGAAACCTCTGGGCTTGTGAGCCTCTACGACAAGGGCGTGTAGTTGTGTGTCCTTGTCAGTTCCAAAGTTTATCTGGTGACCTTCTGGAGGGACCCAACCCCTAGGTTGGGAACCACCATGAAACCAGCTCTACTACTGCTAAAATAATGCAAACAGGACTGTTGTTCTGGAGTAGCTGTAAGAACTCTGACTTATCAGTATGTTTACTTTGGTTTATTGCCTATTTATTTATGCAGGGCCCTTCATCACTGTGCACTCAGAGCCATTAGCTTTACAAGCAGCTTGGCTCACTGGGATTTCCTGCCTCTCAGTCTTCTGATGGACTGATCCGATGCTCTGATCGAATTTGGGGAACCAAAGTGTGCAGACACGACCCAGGGCCGATGCACAGAGTGCTACAGGAAGCAGCTTGCTCGAGGCTCTTTGAGATGTTTCCACTTCTCACTGGAGATGTGATGGGGAGCCCTGGGTTTTTAATCTCAGTGGAGTCGTTAACACCTTTAGGTTGTTGTTTTCAGGTGTGTCTTTAGACTCACATGAGCCAAGGTGTGAATGGCTGTTAAGATGCCTGGGGATGGGTGTCAGGACTGCACCGGAAGTGGATCAGAACCAGCCTTACTGGCCAGGTGTGTTGGCCACACAAGGAGTCTGATTCAGGTACAGTGGCTCTCAGTGTGCATGGGCAATTGTAAATAGTACAGCCGCAGAACTAATGGAGCTTCTCAGATGAGACGTGAACCATTTCGATGAATCTCCAGCTGCCAACTAACAGCGCTTAACACATACCACAACCCAGACGGCTGAGGATATATACACACACACACACACACACACACACACACACACACACACACACACACACACAATCTCTGTACATATTCCAGGAAAGATACCTAAACATAAAGAAACTTTCTCAGAAAGAGAAGAGCATAAAATGAGAACGTGTGAGTGTTTGACAGAGCAGGTTTTGTTTAAGCAACATGAAATTAACCCCGACATTTAACAAATGACTGTGAATAATATGCACTGTAACACAGCAACAGACTGAATCAGTCACACCGACTTTGGAGGGTACGTTATGTGGATGAGGAAGTACGTGGTGGACAGAGTTTTACTGTTTGTTGTTGCCATGAGAACAAACAACATTTCACAACCTACAGTACATTTTCACATTCAGATGAGGAAGTAAAGCCTCATCACAACAATAAAAACTAAATACACTGAGCCTGTGACCCACACACCTGAGCAATAGCACACGTACCTGTCCCCCATCGCCCTCCCCCTCCCCCTCGGCCTTGTCCCCCTCCAGGTCGGCCTCTTCCAGGGTCAGGCCACACAGCCGGCAGCACAGGGGGAACAGGAGGACTGGGAGCGGTGCAGAGGGAGAGCCCAGACCCCCCACCGTCTGGAGGTAGCCCGAGTCCTGGGACACCCGCAGGGTCAAGTCTGACACCACTGCATGGACACGACAGACAGAGTGACGCATTAACAGGTGCTGGCTTAACATCAAACCAGTCTGATTTTACTTCCAGCGTGCTCTGTGTTCTTTCATTGAACCATTAAAACCTCTAAGAAAACCCTGCAAGTGACTCTCTGCAGGTTTTCCTGACGAGAAACATCTCTTCCACCCTAAACTTACTCCTTTACTTCTTCCATCTTTAAAATGTGAACAAGTCCCTTCTGGGTCTCATTTCCTCTGACGTCTCGTTGGTGAATCTAGTGTTTCACTCTGTACTGGACGAGTTAATGTTCACACTTTCGTCTCAAACTGATGCAGTTGAGTGCAGGTTAGTTTCAGGTCAGTAGCCACCAGAAAATTTATGTTCCTCATTTTAAACTCTTTCAGTTTCAATGTGTCGCTTCCTCTTTTCTGCTCAGTGCTTCTTAAATTAAGGTTTTCCCGTTAGACTTTAAGAATCTGGTTTCTTCTAGGCAGACCATATTTTCTATTTTCTATTTTCTATTTTCCCTGCCCTCAGGAATCTCATCATCATCTCAATCTCTTCCAAAACCCTCATATGCTCAGTGAATTTTACTTTGGGTGTGTGGTACTTCTGACCCAAGCACTGAGCTCAGGAGGACCCAGCGTGTTCAGAGCGAGTACACAACACCAAGTGCTCCAGTCAAACCTCGGGCACAAACTCCACGTCATGTTTTCTACATTATCTTTCACTGTTTGTCTCATGTATTCACTTAAGGAGCAGCATCCTTGTGGTTCCACACACATCTGAGGTTTTACTCCCCCCAGTTCAGGTCACATGCTTCATCTACATCATGATTTATGCACCAGGTCTGTTTCCACTGCTATTTGTCTTTTGTTTTTAATCAATATCACAACTTTTCCACATTTTCTCTTTCTTATCTCTGGCATTTTCACCCAGGCTTCCTTTAATGCAAACTGAAAATGGATGCAAACAGCTGGGTGTCCCCCCCACCTACTATTTCAGTGTTAAAGCCAAAACCACATGACTGAATACTAGACCAACTGATGTCACTCTGACTCAGCTACATCACATTTATTCACTTAAGGATGAACAAATATAACCATTTGCCCAGATGTACAGCCAAGACCTCATAGCTGTTCTGTGGATGTGACAGAGGTCACTGCATCTTCCAACAAACCACAGAGGTTTGATTCAACACTGGTGCAACCGACAGTTACAGTGTATGTTTGTTACTGATTACTTTTCAGTGAATTGTGTGATCGATAAGACAGAGTTAACAGGGTCTTCAGATGTCGTTTTGTCCGACCCAGTGTTCAAACTTCACATTGATATGAAACAGAAATGCAGCAGATTCTTGTTTTATCAGATAAATTGATTAACTACTTGCTTGAGAACAAATCTATTTGGGTTCACAGCTGTTAAAAACTGACCCACCCAGGAGCCTAATGTGTCAGTTTGGTGCAGAAACAGCGGAGCTGCCCTGCTCAGGTTGCCCTAGGCTAAAGTCAGAGAGCTGAAGCGATCAGCTGATTAATCCACTAGTTGATCAACAGAAACATTTTCCTGTCTCTGCCTTTTTTTCAAGCAAAACATTCTACACATTATCAGTTCATAGACCACAGTCATTGCACACATCGAGTTTGACTTCAGACAAAACATCTGAAGACGTCACCTCAGATTCTGCAAAGTTTATTTTTTCATATACCAATCAAAAACTAAGAGTCAGATTAATCAAACAAGAAACTAATTGTTGGTTCCAGCCCTAGAACTGTGTGTCATGTATTAACTCTTGAACTGACTGTGTAGATGAACGTTTGTAAGGTGTGTTACCTTCTTCACTTTCACTGTTTGTTTTTTTTCCGTCGCGCCGTCTCTTCTCCTTCTCCCTCCTCTGAGGTCTCTCCTGTGTGTGCATGCGCTGGTGTCTCCGCAGGTTTCCCAGGGAGCTGCAGGCGTAGCTGCACTGGGGGCAGCGGTACGGCTTCTCCCCGGTGTGTGTGCGGGCGTGGCGCTGCAGGTTGACGAGCTGGGCCGAGGCGTATGGGCAGGCGGGACAGCGGTACGGCTTCTGGCCGTCATGGATCCTCATGTGGCGTTTCAAGTGGTTGGAGTAGCGTGAGGTGAAGGCGCACAGAGAGCAGGAGTAGAGTTTATGAGGGATGTCACCAGCTGCACTCGTCTTACCCACACTTCTCTTCCTGCTGGAGCCGCCGCTAATGGATCTGTCAGACGGGTGTGAGCCCTCTACCTGAGAGGAATCGACGGAGGCTGCATGCTGGAGGCCTTCCTCACAGGTCAGACAGTAAAGCTCAGTCCCCAGGTCCAGGCCTGGGACACAGAGGAGGAAAACAACTTTAATCACACTATTAGAATAAAAGAAGTCAGAGGCAACAAATCACAATGACTCTGGTTCAAAGTCAAACCAAGACACGTTGAAATCTCAGTGGAGATCCCACATTTATGAACCAAACACATCGGGCTGAAATGTGGCAAACTTTTGACTTTGAATATTTCGCTCAGTGTAAAACATCACACAACTTAAAGGCACAGAATGATCTGACAGTTGTTTGTTACTACTACTAGTGAGCAGTAGGAGGTGGAAGCTGCCTGTTTAACGCTCATCACATTTAGCTTCTTTAACCAGGTAAAAAGGCCCACTGAGGTTTGCAACCGTTTTTGCAAGGGAGACCAGGCAGCAGCAACAGATTCAGACACGAAACAGACGACATGAACACACAGTGGGTTTTCAAAGCTACAGCAGCCTGTAATTCAGTCTATGATACAAAGATTAATTAACCTCTGCACACTATTCCAAGTAACTGGAGCACAAAACATGATGACTTTCTTTCCCATCTCTGTGTGAACACAGCAGCTCCTGTGAACTAGGATAATTACTGGAAGAGCTCTGTAAAAAAAAAAAAAAATGTCTGCAAAGATGTGAGGAAGTTAAAATCTAAAATAAAATCTAAAGCAGCTTTATGAATATAAGCATATCAAAGGTGAAGAGATGGAGACAGTCAGCCATCTGTGCAGGACAGAGCACAATGATGCACCCATCTTAAATCTGGAGGATGAGGTGGTTTCTCTTCTACTATTGCTGAAGAAGAAAAATGTAAAACGTTCCGACTCTTACTGAGATCTAAGCTCGTCCCCAGAGGCGCATCCCCCAGAAGCTGCCCACACCCTTTACAGGAGAGGAATGCTGGGAAGGTGGAGTCTGCTGGTGCTGAAGGGTCGTCCTCAACGCTCAGAGAGAAGACCGTCACACCTGGAGGACAACACAGGTGCTTAGCTGATTCTTAGACAGGAGACACCAGCCTATCATGCTATTTAAAATCTGTGAAATCTAAACTTAATTTGTGTTAATTTCATGAATGAACTATATTAACAAGCTCCATCAAATGTGTGGTGCTTAGTCTTCTTTGGCAAAGCACTTTACAGTTTAAGTTTTTATTTCCGGTCCATAAAAGACTTTCCTCTTTACACTGAGCTTTTATTTTGATGGTCTGACGAGGCAAACTTTCAATCACCTGCCAAAATGTCTTGTATAGACAACAACTAGACGAACAGTCACTATATTGTCCACCTAATATTTGTACAGACTGGTGTGTGTGTCACTGACCGGCCACCCTGTCCAGCCCCATGAGCTCCGAGTCCCCGAACTCCAGCTCTCCACTCAGCAAGAAGTCGCTCTCCAACACCAGGCAGCTCGGCTCACACACCACCGCCCCATCCTCTGACTCCACTGAACACACAGACATTTCTCTTGATTACTTTCTTAAAACAGATGTTCAAACATTTTGTACGAGCAGCAAATTAAAACACAGTGAGCTGGGTGAGAGTGAAACCACAACGGGTCAGAGACTGAGCAACAGGTCTGCTCCTGGTTTTCATATGAACTGAAACACAAATCAGATTCCTACCTGAGCGTCTGACCCAGTGCCTCTGGGTGTCTGCCTCACTGATACTAATAATAACAACAACACACCTTTTGGATCATATTATTCAGACTGGCACCAAACAAACTATTACAGAACATGTTTGACCTGCCAAATTATTTTATTTTAGCAGAATGAGGGCTGCAAATGTTTTCCAAGCAATATTCTAACCAAGTAAAACTAACTTGCATTTCAAACTAGGATGGATTAATAAATGTTTTATTCTGACACAGAAATCACATCCTGTGTGACAGTGGGTTTCTGCTCCAAACTAAATCTGGCTTGTAATGAGACAGAAAGCAGAATGACAACTTTGACTTGTGCTCAGAAAAAGTAAAAGAAGAAGATGGACAAGAGTATAAGAGTTGGAGAGGAAGCGGGAAAGTAAATGAGGAGAAAACAGAAGCAGGCAAGCAAAGGAAACCAGTGAGGATGAGATAAGTGCAGAGGAGGAAGAGCTGGAGGGGGAGGAATGAGGCTGAGAGTCAGGAAAAGGAAGAGGACTGAATAAAGATGAGAAACAGATGATACATGACATTTGAATACACTGAAATTGCTGTTTTGACACAACAGTGACTGAGCCTAAATCCATTTTTGCTTTTCAGTAACTCACTCCATTGTACAGAAAGCAATGCATTTAACATTTTCACTGAGCCCAAAGATGATTTCCATGGTTTTCAGCCTGAGCACCGTGCGCAAGGCAGAAAATATCAACAAGATATAACTCTAAAGGAAAAACAGAGTACACAAACAAACCACATGATCACGAGCTGCGTACTCAGTAATCAGACATTATTTTGAAATGTATATAATGACACCCCTCCATTTGTCCATCAGGCTTGTTACATATAAGGGAAAACCTGTAAAATGCAGCGTGGGCAGCACATGAGGTGTAGGTGTACTGGAAGCAACCTGTTTTCCAAAGAACCTGAAATCAGTGCCGCAAACCTACAGGTCCCCGATGTAAACAGGTGGTATTAAGGGAAAGTAACTCGACAAGATGAACCCTGAACAAAGACATTATTAACATACTTTGCAACAAAGATGACAGTTGATTGATTGACAATGATGACAACATTTCAATATTAATGCAAGAATCTCCCTGAGTAGGACTTTAAAGACATAAGAGACATGAAGGTGAGGCAAAGGAACACATGCTAAGAGGAAGGGAATAAGAGAAACAGGAAGCAATGAGAGAAAAGGAGGAGGACAGGAAGGAAAGGAGGGAGCAGAGGGGAGGTCAGGTGAAGCCTTGTGAAAAGGAAGCAGACCAAGTGAACCACAACATTCAGGATAAGATAACACACAAACACGTCTCCAAGTGTCTTCCTCTCCGATCGACAAAGAGGAAGGGACCTGCAAAGCCACTATGTTAGACCAGTTAGGCAACTTTTCATATGGCCGTGTCCTGTGCAGGCATTTAGTATAAACCACTACAAACACGTCCTAACATAAGATTATGTTAAAGTAGCTTTGACATGAGCAGGCAGTAGAAGAGAGTCGCTTCCTCAAACCCAGACAGTGATTTAAGATGTGCCAAGTTAGATCCAGAATCAAACAGGTCAACTCACGTTTCACTGGCTGCGGGTTGGATTGTTTTCTCCGCGGCATCTTTGCCTCGTTTCGTCCCAGATCCTGCTCCGCTTGTGGGAGACACCTCACGCGCAGTCCGTCAGCCAGCCAGGCAGCCAGCTAACTGCATGTCATCACCGTCATCATCATCTCCTCCTTCCTCTTCCTCCAAAGGAGAGTAACAGCGGTGGTGTCATCACTACCGAATGAAACGTAGCGTGTACAAGGAATTTAAAACTCAACACTTCATTAAGTTCAATAAGTCATACACTACACTTATTTCTAGCGGGCTTTAAACATCACCACACACCTTCCACTTTAAATCTAAGTCGCGGTTCTTTCTGTTATTGTTTCGCAGTAAATAGTCGGAACCATCTTGCTAGCCATGTAGCTAGCCAGCTAACTTAAACAGTAACAACGCAAGCTGTCGTTTCAAGTTTAAACTTTAACAAAACCCACATTAGTAGATATCAACTTGTCAATAAAATTACCTGTGATATAGTCCACAATAATTATACCGTCGTTTAAAAAAGTGTCATTTAGTAGCAAACGCACACCGATGCCGAGCTACGCCGGGTCCGGGTGACGTCACTGACAGGAGCAGAGGGTTGTGGGCGTTGTAGTTCCTCGTTTATCGAGCCCCCTACAGAGGAAGCACGCAGTTTCCTTTGGGGTAACAATTTTTGTTGGCATATGCATGGATGCGTTACTGAGCGGGACTGCTGGGCACAAAGACACACAGAACTACTACTGAGACCCACAAATAAATAAACAAAGTGACTGCAAGCACACAAAAAGGACCACAAAGAGACAAATCCCGCAGACACAAAAAGGCACTAGATGGTACTATAACATGGGAAATAGAGACAGTCGACAGATTATCCTGCATAGCTACAGCACACATCTACAGGCAGCATACATCTGTACATGTTTCCAAAAATAGACATTTATAATATACATTTACAATAATTAAATGAAAACAAATGAACAGAATTAAGAGACAGTTGGCAGGAAATGCTCCTATTATTATAGGCAAGAAAAATATGTAAAAGGTAAATGGGTTGACACTGTGAAGTGAATGAGGTGGAACCCAGATTATTCTTTACTGTCACTTACTGAATCTGATGATTTATATTAAAAATCAGATTTGATTTGAACTGAGGGTGAAACTGAATTTTTTTGGATTATGTTTTTTTTTTATCTCAAACATATTTTTAAAGCATGGAAAAGGAGAAAAATCACTTAATGACACAAACTCCTTATACTTTATAACAATGATTTATTCATAAACCGAACCATGCATACAGTGTGTCATCAGTATGGATTTAATTTTATTTAGATTGTGTTTGTTTTGTTGTTTGTTAAAAAAGTTTTAAGTGTTTTTAGCCTCAGTTTTGATTAAACTAAAGGGGATGCTATTATATTAAATAAAAAAACATTGGTCACCATTTATCCAAACATTTATTGCAATAACAAAATAAAGTACAAATGGAATTTGATTTTTTTCTGGACTTTTGCATTGGTTTGTTTTACATTCGACAGTGGTGCAACCAAAGCGCAACCTCAATGTAGGCTTGAACTACTTACTGTATATTTATAGTCAATACTAATAAAACAGGCTCTAAACATTCATCATTATTAAACGTCGGTGCATGATAAAACGACAAAGGCGTTTCTTTGCTGGACTGAACGTGATTTGTTTTCCAGATACAGACAATGACAAATTGAAAAATGGCCTATTGCAGCATTTCTTGAACAAACAAACTGTACCAGAAGTCAGAAGTTATTCTTTCCTCCAGATACGTATAAGGTACTTTTGCACAGTGAGCCTCAGATAATACTACAACTCTCTCTTTGATCTAGCAGGAGCAGAGAACGTGCACTCTTATTTTCTACCACCTTCCTCCATCAGATCAACAGTATCCTCTGTTTGTTTCTATGATTCACTCCGACTCTGTGCCTTGGCTTCCTGCTGCGCCCTCCAGGCCGCGAGCACCTCATCATCTTCAACCTCAGCTACCGCCCGAGCTCTGATCCTCTGCCTGGTTTGGGCGATGAAGGTAGCAATATTATCCTCCTCCTGCTCAGCCTCCTCCCTCCTGCTTCTCCTCCCTCCTGGCTCCCTGCTGTCATATTGTGAACAGTGGGCGTATCTTCTCTTGGAGAAGTCACTGTAGCGCTCCGTCCCCTCGTTGCTCCCCTCGAAAGCTCCGTAAGATCTCCCTGCCCGGCTGTAGCTGTGAGGTTGTGTGACCCCATTGCAGGAATATTCAGTGTCTTCACTAGACAGATCCTCATGTAACCTTGATCTGTATCTGGAGCTGTACGTTTCCTCATCCTCTTCGTCAACAGCACAGGAGGCCCTGCGGCTTGAGAAGTCGAATTCAGAAGCAGAGGCATCGAGGTCATCATACGGCTCCTCTGGCGGGCTGGTCTCTGCTCCTTGCTCTGGTTTCCTTGGAGGAGGCCTGACACTTTTCAGCCATTCATCAATGCTGGTGTCCTTATCTTTCTCCAGTGCCGGGTTGAGACTCAAGCATCCAGAGAGGCCATAGCTCCTTGGAGGTTTTTCCTTTTTCTTCGTCTCTTCAAGAAACTCCTCTTCTTTCCTCTTTTTTTCCTCCTCCTCCTCCTCATTCGCCTTCGGTTTCTTCTTCTTGTACAGAGTGCTGCGCTTGTTGTCCTCCAGGATCTTTTTCTTTTCATAGGTGGTGATCTTGTCCCTCATTTCAGACTTGATGTCTTTGTCCATGGCATCCAGTTTGTCCAGGTTGACTTCGTCCTGGAAAAGGCTGAAGAGGGGGACGCTAGTGGTGGTGATCTTGTTCTTCCTGGAGCCCAGGGCGGAGCCTTGGCCAGTGAAACCTGAGATCCTGCTTGACCTACCATCTGAGAAGACTGATGCGGCCCTGCCCCGACCCTGGGACAGAGCGCTGGTGGAGGAGGCACTGCTCAACAAGGAGGCCTTGTCATCGTCTACGCCACGGCCGGACATCCCCCCTGACGCCCCACCAAAACTGACCTCAGAGCCAGCATGTGACGGAGGAGGCAGGCTCATTTCACTCTGCTTCTGTTTGATCGTTTCAGAGACAACATTGGTGATCCAGTTTTGGATGCTGGCCAGATTGACCAGTGGTTCACCTCCGGGGCCCTGCATGGTTGGAACTGGGATGATGGGAGGAACTGGTGGTGTGAGATTCAGTGGGACAGCAGACTGGGTGGATTTTGCACTGCGAGCTTGTGAAGCTGAGGATATGACAGACGATCTGCCGCTGAGCATGGACATGTTGTCGTCACTGGGGACACTCTGCAGGCCTGTGACCCCAGCTCCAGCCCAGAAGGCTGACAGAGGTATCGTATTTCCACTAATGCAGCTCTCACTCTCCCAGTTGCACAGAGACTGACTTTCTTCTAAAGTCTTTTTTGACCGCTCCAGAATCTCCTCACGTCTTTGCCTCCTTTTGACCGTTGCAGAGTCCTCACCTCGAATCAGGTCCAAAATCTCGTCTGTATTCTCTTCCCCAAGACGCTTCTGCTGTCTCAGCTTCCATGACTGATACGCCGTCACATTGACATCTTGGAGGGATGGTGCCTTTGCTTCTCCCTCGCCATCACCTCTCTCTCCGTCTCCTACGAGGCTTTTCTCTCCATCCTCCCGATCTTTCTTGTTCCAGCCAAACTGGATCCTCTTAATGCGCCAACGCTCCAAAGGCGTCAGCTTCTCCTTGTTCTTCTGACAGAAGTTGTACATGGAGCTGGTGTCAGAGAGGATGCTGTCCACTTCATCCTCAATCTTCTTCTGTCCTTCCTCTCCTCCCTCTGTTGCAGTGTTCTCGCTGCCTTCCTCCTCCTCTTTCCTGCGGTAGCGAGCAGCAGCTTGCTCCTCAATTTCTCTTAGCCGCTGTTTCCATAAATCAGAGTAACTCGTGCAGCTGGAGGCGGACATGGTCTCTGAGGGTGGAGGACGTTTAGTGCGACGCTTCATCTGCTCTTTTATAGCTTGTATGTCCTTGCTACTGACGCTCTCCACATCTTCATCTGTACCTTCCTTTGTTTTCTTTGGCCGGCTTCCAGGAAGAGATTCTCCGTCCTCACTGTCGCCATTCAATTGCGCCTCCCACCACTCCTCGTTTTGGTATTTCTTGTTTCTGTGCTGCCACTCGCGAATCATGCTGTCAAGACCATCATCATCATCATCGTCTTCTCCGCCAACCTCAAGCTGCTCTTGAACACCGACCGACCCCTGGTTTTCCAGCCCATTCTGCACTCCGATCAGCCCGCCTCTGAGCGCCGCTGCCCCAGCAGAAGAGGCGATGCTGCTCATTACACTCTTACCATCCTCCTCCTCCTCCATCATGATGGAGTGAGCTTTCACCTCGATCATGCTCTGCTCCTCCTCTTTATCAGTGTCCTCATCATCATCATCGCCACCCTCTCCAAAGATGCGAGCACGAGTTCGAGCATCGATAACAGAGCACTGGCTGAGTGTCTCGTCGTCATCATCACGCTCCTCCATCAGGGTCTCGTTGAGTTCTCGCAGCTGCTTCAGGAAGCCTTCATTTGGGTTGATGGCACGTTTTTTCCTTATGGACGTCAAGGCCTCCATGATGGTCATGTGTTGGAAGATCATCAAGTAGGATGCCACCAGGACAGCAGAGCGACTGACGCCCATCATGGAAACCACAAGAACCTTCCCTGCAAAGAAACAACACAGCCATCACAACCCCATCTCCGTGAACTGTGTTTTTAAAGAAGTGTGACCAAGATACGAGGTGTTCAGGACATTTTACAGCCGAAAAACTGTCCTGTAGTGGACAAGTCTTGCTACAGGACACTGGGGTTTAAAGGGTAAACAATTCTGATACAGTATATTGGCTGTTACTCATCTTCTACATGCACTCAAACAAACTTCTCTCCAGATGTGGCCACAGCTGTTGCTTATAATTACATTTAAGTGTGTTATACACCATTTATTAAATGCTAAATATCAAGGATTGAAGTTGAAAATGACCCTTTATTGTGTCTTATTTGTAATTTTTGATTTTTGTAGTTGTGAGTGATTTGATGCTTTATTAGCCCAAATGATTTATTAGGCGCC